CTGAGTTTTTTTGTATGAAGACTTGTCCTCATGTACCTTTGGAAGCGAAAGATTTGCAGCGTAGCAGACTTGATGCATACAAATAGGGAGTATTCCGACGTATATCTCTACGCCACCACATTTCAGAAGGAAATATCGTACTCTTTAATCCTTCACATTTATTTATTTCACAGTAGTTGCCATGCAAATTCAGATTTAACACACAAAACACAACCAGTGTACCAAATATGATGCTTGAAACAAGATTATTTTCTCTCATCAGGCAATCTCAGAGAAAGTTTACATCTTTTATTATAACTAAGGAATTTCAGCAGCATTCAAAGCCTGTAAGAAGAACATTTACAGTAACAGTATGTCACTTTGAGAAGGAAACACACACAGGCTTTAATCTAACTGCTGCTCTACATCTATTCTCTTATCTAAACCCTCACTCTTTGGTTGCGGGCATATGCTTCTTTCTCTAACCGCCTAAATCTACGCTGCACTAGCTGCATTTTTCAGCTTTCACCACTTAATCACTAAATTTAACTGATTGCACAGAGGTGATCGACTGAGGTGATTAACAAGGGAACAAGAGCTGAAATGGCAGCAGCTAATGAGGCACACTGGGACTCAGAGGGTAAGGCTCTGTTGTTGCTCCAACAACAACTTCAGTAAACAACATGCTGACTCATCCAGTGACACAGAGAGAGCTCTTACCGCCCATTTAGCTGCACTCATCGCATTTATACACATAGTAAAGTATCGTATGCATATAGAACATGAACTGTAAAAACATGCGCGTACACACACACACACACACACACACACACACACACACACAGCGATGTACAAGAACACATAGACTTCCAAAATTAGATTCTGTAAACAGTCAGGAGATGTAGCTGTCAACTGATATTTGAAAAATCAACAACTTCCTTTCTCCCTCCGGTCAGACCTTCATATCTCCCACTCTCATCCTTTCCTTTCACCCCTGGACAGAGAAAGTACCGGGGGGACTGTGCTGACAGACGTCCATACAGCCTGAGGGAGGATGAGCCTCTGAACGAGTCTGGCAGATGTGTGTGTCTCAAGGGTTTCTGACCTACTCTGATGAACAGTCACTGGTCCTTGTGTTAACCCTTCTTGTGCTACCACTGAAAAGACAAACACAAAGACCAATGCAATAAATATTTGCTGACATACATTTACCATCCTGACAACGCAATAACTTACATGTTCTCCACCTTCTTTGACATCCTGAGTCACTCAGCACCTCTTATTTAGCCGTAATCTGTGACTCCTGGAGGTTTATCTGAGAGGACAGGCTTCTACAATTCATGCCACCTGTGCATGTGCAAATGACAAAGGGGTCACTTGGTTAACAACACAAAGCTTTGGTTTTGCAATGAGTTGCTAAAAGGAGAGGAAGAGTTATAGTGCTCAATGCAATATGACTCATGTGTTTGTTGACGGACACCTGAAGGTATCTGAAGCAGATTATTGATCTGCACATGGGCTAGGAACAGATTTATACTTTGATTTCCTAGAGTAAACACAGAGTGTTTGGATAGGGATGTAAACCAAAGCCCAGTTTGTTGACTCCATTTGTCATATATATTCTCTGTTCGATAACTCAATAAAGTGTTTGAGACAGCAGCTGCTGAGGGAGGAACTTCAAGGCGAGCGTGTCACAGTTAATGTATTTCTGTCAGCAGGACGGAGGGACCCAGGGATGGAGAAAGAGAAGAACCGGTGGATGGAGGTAAAAGGTGAGTGATCTCTCCATCGCTTTCTCTACCGCTGTCTTTGTCTTTCTTTCGCATCTGTCTCTTGATATTTTTTCTCCCTCAGTCTTTTCCACTTTACCCAGCCATGACAAATTTTTGCATCTATTACAAACATCTGCTTATTTCTCTTCCTGTATCTCTAATCCTGTATGTATGGTCCCATCCCACAGGAACACTAAAAAAGGCTGCAGTTAAGGCCATAAATTGTAATAAAGTGCCACTCTCCAATTATGTTCTGTTTGTTTTTCATAACTGCTTGTTTCATTGATTGCCGCAAACTATTAGAGTTCTTGTTGACACATGTATACGTCAAACAAGTTTTCCAATTTGTTTTTTGTCTCTGTTCCCTTTCTCCTGTTTGTCAATTTCAAAGTTGGCACCCATGGGTTTTGAACGTCAAACATAAATGTTTAGAAGTCCAAAACTTTCTTTTGAGACACACAGGTAGACCTGTTGTACTTCATGAAAACTTGGTGACAAAATGATATCATATGACATAAAGTAGAAAACATTCAAGGGCTTTATCAAATGGGTCTCTTTGTTGCATTCACTCAATCAACTTTTGTTGTCTGTGTGTCACATAAAGTCCAATTGTTTCCAGAGGGATTATACAGACATGACAGCCCATCGCAGCTGTTTATTACATTACCTCACATCTGATCTCTCTAATCTATCACAGGAGAAAGGCAGACAGAGAGAGAGAGGTAGAGAGAGGTATCTGAGATTAACGTACTGACAACCTAGCAAACCCCAGATTCTCCCGTCTTCATGAATATGGATGAACAATCCCACCAGGAGAGTATACACAGCTAGCTTTAATACTTTAATGCGCATTACAGCAATAATAAGAGAGAAGCTACTTAGATCACATAATTCTCCGGAGTCTCATCATAAATAACAGCTTACATGTAGCTTACTTAGATAAATAGGTGGATGGATGTGAAGGATGGAGCGCCTGTATTCACTCAGGCTCAGGAGATTTTTCCATGCGCAAGAACTCCAACTGCTCAGAAATCTGTGCAGTGTTTGCAAGTGCCATGTGCATGCACATTTGTATTTGCGTGTGTGGGAAAATTAAAAAGCTGGGGCAATAACATCTCCAGAATATGTCATTGACTCCCATTACACCCACAAAGCCCTGAGTGCTATTACACCACAGATCAAATTAGTCACTATGAAGATGAATGGGTCCACAAAAACACAATAACTTACCATTCGGCATGTAAAATTCCCTGTGAATTATTAACAGAGCAACTCATCAGAGCCATAGGAGTGGAGGCGCAGAGGACCGAATTCCTGGGTAGAAAATGGTGGAAAACTGATGAATATCCTTCCTCGCACACATGGCCAATGAGGGCTCATGCCAAGACGCACAGGAAGAAGAAGCACACACAAATGACAGTATATCACCACCACACTCATTTATGTGCACATTCACACACATTCTCATGCACACACTGGCCATATCCTATTTATCCAACTGTGGAGCCATACATAGTTCGTGGCTTGACACCAGACCATCTCTCATCCCGCTATCAGACGGTGAATCCCACCTGGAAATCCTCTACTTTACATCGTACTGACAAATATTATGCCAACCAACAGTCTTCTTATACACACAAAAGGGGTGGGGGTGAGGGTGGGGGGAAGGTATAATGAAAGAAATATAGTAACATAGTAACATAACAAGTAACGTAACTATTACTTCTACTACCCATTAATAAGTTAAGTAATATTATTAGTTTTTTAAGGAGTAATAAGTAACTAGTGACTTACTACTAGTTAACATGCCCAACACCGGGTAGAACTATTGTATGCTGATAGACAACAGCATATTCATTTGGGAAAACAAAGTAAAAGTATAGAAAAGTCAATATGAGTCACAATAAAAAGCTCCAAATTAAGATAGATTTCCTATTTACAGCGAGAGTAGGAGAGCTATACTCCTCATTGGGCAGCCAAAAATCCTAGCTGAATTTCATTTGATGACAGACATGAAAAGTTGCATCACTCGCCTATAGGTGCATGCAGTGCCGTGTTGACCACGTGTGTGCATGGCATAGGGAGGGGTGAGGATTTACTGGTCTTAGCCATGTGCTGTACAGAGCATATCAGGTTTATGTGAGCTAGATTTGCAGGGGTATGGCCATTCAACTACCTTCTTCTGCTGTCTGACAGTGAAAGATGTGTCCATAACGAGGTGGCGACGGATAAACTACGTAATGGGAACCCAACCTGTGAGACGAGCCATTAATCTTGGTAAGGCAGAGATGACCGGTGGACATGGTCTGCTCACTGTAACAGGAACAGCCACATTAGGATTTCATGGCTCTCTGACTCCTTCCAGGCGTGTACTGTGTTCTGGTTTCTGTGTTTTTGGAGAGAACACTACCTGATTACCCTAAGGATCCAAGTTATAAGATCATCTCTGGTTTTGTATGTATGGAGCCTAAAGAATAGGACAACTGATCTAGGTCAGGTCACAGGACCATTAAACAATTCTCTGTGGAGACATATATAGAATATTCAAGCCAATACAAAGTTTATGTAGGGAATAATGTGGCAAAACGTGTCCACAGGTTTTTCTCTGGGTGCTCTGGTTTCCTAACCCCGCATTCCATAAACATTTACAATGAGTCAGTGAATTGGAGAATTGTGCAGTAGGCATGAATTGGAGTTTGTCTATTTAACCTTGTAATGGGCTGATGACGTGTATCACCCCATCTGCTGAAAGGATCACTGACCAGGATCCAACTGTAGCTGTTGCATTCATCCAGAATTGTGATGGGTTGGTTAAATTCTTGCAAAAACAAAAAGTATGGAGTCCTTTGAATTGATTAAAACAATTATTTAAAGGCATTTTGATGGCTGACTTGAAAGCTTCCATTAAGTATATTAAAAGATTACTTGTGCCGAGATGCAGACTACATTACCAATAGCCTAACCTAACACAACAAAAATGAAAGAAAGACTGCTCTTTTTGTTTACTTATTGTGTGATTCTGGTGAGTTAAGTAGGAGGTCCATCTGTTTTTTAAAACAAAACTTTATTCAACAAGTGTACACACAATGATAAAAACATATAAAGGCAAAGAATACAAGAGTGCTGATAACAGTTAACATTAAAATATAAACATATCTATGGAATAAAACATTGAAATAATAAATAAGCAGTAGTTTAACATTTAAAATACATTTTTGTTGCTTTAAACGTTTTTATTTTATTATTAATATTTCTATGAAAAAATTAAAATGTAAGAAATCTATATTGCATCTGACTCCCGAATGCATTACTTGTTGCATAAAGGTCTCTGTTTCATGACAAATATATGGAGCAGAGACTGCCAGCTATTTCAATTAGCTAGGTGCTCCCAGTTAGCACATTCACTCACACATGACTTTATCTACAGGGGCAGCGGCCTCTACCTAACACACCTTGCCGTAGGCTACCGCGGTGTGTTTAACCCTTTTTATATACAGTCTGTGGTTTAAGAGCCTGCTGTTTCCTCTCTGCTGCTGACGCACTGCGGGGTCGCTAACCCTAATGTAACACTGCTGCTTTTAATGTAAATTTTCGTAAGTTAGAAAGTTTTCCAGTTCAACTTTCACTCTGGCAGCGTGGAGAATTTTTTTCCGACGTGTGAAACGCCGAGGGTTGCTGCGCCTCTTACTTCAACAAGCTAAGTACTTGCTTCTTATGCTAACTTGCTACGCAGAGTAGATGTCATGGCCATGTTCAGTGTTTTCACTTGGTGTGTGTTTGGATGGCTGTTTTAAGGCCTTCCTGTGAATTTGCCTGTCTTGGTGGTCTGCTGGCTGTTTGCTGTTATTTACAGTGAGGAAAATAAGTATTTGAACACCCTGCTATTTTGCAAGTTCTCCCACTTAGAAATCATGGAGGGGTCTGAAATTGTCATCGTAGGTGCATGTCCACTGTGAGAGACATAATCTAAAAAAGAAATCCAGAAATCACAATGTATGATTTTTTAACTATTTATTTGTATGATACAGCTGCAAATAAGTATTTGAACACCTGTCTATCAGCTAGAATTCTGACTCTCAAAGGCCTGTTAGTCTGCCTTCAAAATGTCCACCTGCACTCCAGTTATTATCCTAAATTAGATGCACCTGTTTGAGGTCCTTAGCTGCATAAAGACACCTGTCCACCCCATACAATCAGTAAGAATCCAACTACTAACATGGCCAAGACCAAAGAGCTGTCCAAAGACACTAGAGACAAAATTGTACACCGCCACAAGGCTGGAAAGGGCTACGGGGAAATTGCCAAGCAGCTTGGTGAAAAAAGGTCCACTGTTGGAGCGATCATTAGAAAATGGAAGAAGCTAAACATGACTGTCAATCTCCCTCGGACCGGGGCTCCATGCAAGATCTCACCTTGTGGGGTCTCAATGATCCTAAGAAAGGTGAGAAATCAGCCCAGAACTACACGGGAGGAGCTGGTCAATGACCTGAAAAGAGCTGGGACCACCGTTTCCAAGGTTACTAATGGTAATACACTAAGACGTCATGGTTTGAAATCACGCATGGCACGGAAGGTTCCCCTGCTTAAACCAGCGCATGTCAAGGCCCGTCTTCAGTTTGCCAATGACCATTTGGATGATCCAGAGGAGTCATGGGAGAAAGTCATGTGGTCAGATGAGACCAAAATAGAACTTTTTGGTCATAATTCCACTAACCGTGTTCGGAGGAAGAAGAATGATGAGCACCATCCCAAGAACACCATCCCTACTGTGAAGCATGGGGGTGGTAGCATCATGCTTTGGGGGTGTTTTTCTGCACATGGGACAGGGCGACTGCACTGTATTAAGGAGAGGATGACCGGGGCCATGTATTGCGAGATTTTGGGGAACAACCTCCTTCCCTCAGTTAGAGCATTGAAGATGGGTCGAGGCTGGGTCTTCCAACATGACAATGACCCGAAGCACACAGCCAGGATAACCAAGGAGTGGCTCTGTAGGAAGCATATCAAGGTTCTGGCGTGGCCTAGCCAGTCTCCAGACCTAAACCCAATAGAGAATCTTTGGAGGGAGCTCAAACTCCGTGTTTCTCAGCGACAGCCCAGAAACCTGACTGATCTAGAGAACATCTGTGTGGAGGAGTGGGCCAAAATCCCTCCTGCAGTGTGTGCAAACCTGGTGAAAAACTACAGGAAGGTTTGACCTCTGTAATTGCAAACAAAGGCTACTGCACCAAATATTAACACTGATTTTCTCAGGTGTTCAAATACTTATTTGCAGCTGTATCATACAAATAAATAGTTAAAAAAAAATCATACATTGTGATATCTGGATTTTTTATTTATTTATTTTTTTTTAGATTATGTCTCTCACAGTGGACATGCACCTACGATGACAATTTCAGACCCCTCCATTATTTCTAAGTTGGAGAACTTGCGAAATAGCAGGGTGTTCAAATACTTATTTTCCTCACTGTACCTGCTTCCATTAACTTGAATGGCTGGGGATGTTGTGTTTGATGTGTGGTAGTGTGAAATGTGATGCTGATTCACTGGTGAACGTCTGAATAGGGTTTGTTGTCCTTTGGTTGTTGTTGTTTACTTTGAGGTGTTTCCTGTTGGCTCACTTGTTACTTTGTTCTCTAATAATATTAATAAAATTAATATTGATATTGTTGGCTAACTGCAAACAGCACATTCTTATTTGCCTGTAACACCGGCTTCTTGGGAAACCTTATTATGGCCTTTGTTGCTCATAGATGTCAGATTTTCTTTACACATTGCATTTCACACAGAAGTTGTGGGCTTATGTGATGGCTTTCTTTTATATTCTTCATATCATCATTAACTATATTTGAACTGCTGTGCTATACTTTACGCTGCTGTAACACTCTGTTGCACTCTTTACCGAACTTAAGCATATATCAATGTACTGATGTTCATTGCTTATCAACCTACATACAGTTTTCTAAGTGATTGTGTGCTCCAAGCCCTGATATACTTGAGATTTGTGCCTGAGTTTGCTACTGTCTGTAAATAAGTAATAAGATTTTGAGAAGCGAAGTCTTGCAACTTTACTCATTTGGGGCTTTTGAGAGTCTTGTGATTGTACATTTTGTTTTTATAATTTGAGAGAGATTAATCCTCAAATTCAGGAGTTAAATGTTCTTGTTTTGAGACTTTCAAGGGCAACAGCAAACCACTCGCCTTTGTTTTGCAAGAGGTTTTGAATCTCTTGAGGTAAACATTCATCTAGATAGCCGTGGAGGTTTTATGAATGCCAAGCCAACCCACGCAAGACCTTCAATACCAAAAATAGAGCTAGTCAAATACAGCAAACAAAACACAACAGAACAATAGCACACGGCACAGCACCTTTGCCAGCAGGGTGATAGGGCACGGGCTCCGATGATTGATGATGAGAGAGTGGAGTATCCCCTCTCCGTTGTGATGAGAGGCTATAAGAGCGAAGAGAGGTGAATAGGGATTAAATGAAGCCATGAAGGTGCAGAATATCCACCATCTGATACACACCATGTTTTATTTACACCTTAGACATGACCCATTACACATAAAGCACATCTCCTCTAGCTTTGCTACAGCATGAGGAAGCGAAAGCTTATGTTAGTGTATTTAAATGTGTCTGCATGGTGTATTGTATGATTTTTGAAGTGGGGCTGGATGAGGCACTTATCCGTAGACAGTGTGTTATCTGCAGCAGTTGGGAGAAGCAGGGAGTACTGCCACACAAGCTAAGCAATGTATTGCTGACAATGGGTCAGCAGCAGCAAAACATAGTCACCTAAACGAAGGCCCACTGGAAAAAAATTAATATCAGTTCAAGTGCTTGTTTTAATTAGAATATTTCTGACGGCAATTTCCTTTGGAACTACATTTTCTCAACCATAGAACCTCCGGATACCTCTGTGTAAGCGCTGTGCACTGTATAAAGGAAATGTAGCAGTGCCGGTACATCTGTCCAACTCTCCAAACTGGGGTTGTGCTGGCCACCATCTGCTGCAGGTAATACACTCATCACCTCATACAGCCACCTCCAAAAAACCCAAACTAGGTATCCCTTTAAGTTGGAGAAACAGTAACACCGTAAAGGTATTCCACTTGCATTACCCACTTTGGGTTTGGGGGTTTAGGGTGGGGAGGGTTAGATGGCTTTTTCCTTTTTGTTTACTGTCCTCCTCATTTTATTTTCATGAGATTAAATGTTCATTACCGCAAAGTTCTTGCAAACCATAACCATGTATTTTACTTGACCTTTCGTAGAGTAAAATTCAATAGATTATTTTTACCTGGTGAAGGTTTGAGGACTGACACGCTTATAAAGTAAGTGATCGTCCTGGATTTGTTTTTCCACATGATATTTTTCTATTAGGAAGTTTGTAGTTTTTTTTATTTAAAACAAAAAGACATGAAATGATGAATTGTAATCAGACAGGCACATCCTTCTCGTCTACTATGAACAACATAAATGGGTAAAAATGATAAAATGCAAACATTTTATTGTGAAAGTTAAATATCATCTGAAAAGAAAACAACTCAAACAGCATAATTGTCAATGTTAAACATGTTTTTCTGTGGTAAAACGATGCCCTTGTCATATATGCCCCCAAATTACAGTGACTTCATGTGTGCCTATACCCATGCTATGTATTAGGGTGAATGCGAGAGTACACATGTGAGTGTGAGAAATTGAGACTGACTAATCAGTGCTACAAATTGATTAGTTTCTTCACTTAGCCTACTTCTTGTTTGAGCAGTCTCCTACTCTGTTTCTGCACTTCCTCCACTACGTGTGTGATAATTATCATAGACTCTGTGGATATTTTTTACTACTGTTTTGTCAGATTAGGTTAACTCCTCTGCCTCAGTGTTTACCACCAATTATAAACACCAGAACAGGTGGGATGTAGTGCTCTTACGAAACTTTTGCAGCTCGGCAAAGTTATGTGACCACATTTTGTTCCATAGTTGAGTCCACGGATGAGATGAAGAAGTTTGATTAATGGAGTTTGATTACTGTTTCAAAAGGAGTTTGATTGCTGGCTCTGATATTAACATTTTTTAGCATGATAGCATGTTGAAACTCCTTATCAACTCCTCAATTCTGGATTATCGTATGTTTTCTTTCATTTCAGTAAAAAGACAACATCGCTATGAGTGGAATTTTCTTTCCCTATCGCTACAATCTTTGAAGAAAACAATACTTGTTCTCCATGGTGATTTAACTCAATAAACAGACGTGTCAGTTATTGCACAAACAGCTTGTGTTGTTATGATTGAAGATTTGATTTTTCGCAATGTTAAAACTTAGTGAGAGTTAAATACAGTTCATGTGGCTGTTTTTGATTTGGTCAAGGTGGATTTCTCAGTCCCATTGCCATCTCTATGTGCATGATTCCTATGTTTTTCCATGTTTCATGTGCATACGGCGTTTGTGAATAGCCATGGCAATATTCGTTATGGCGCAGAAGCATATAGTTGTGAAGCAGTGATCAGCTTTTTGACAGATGGCAGGTCCTCACTTCTAAACTGGCTGATATTGGCTGGTGGCTGCGACTGGACAGTCATCGTAAACTCGCCATATGTTGAAATATGCTGGACAGATTGAGGCATGGGGGCAAGTGTATTTAAGGGCATAGAGTGGCAAGATGAAACATTCATGAAGGGATTGAGCATATGTTCGAATCATATCATCGTCACGTTATTTCAGGAACTCATAGGAGACTACTTTAAGCTTCCACAGACAAACAGTTGTTTGTTGCACAAGGGAGAAACACTGTACAAGAGCGAGAGCACCAAAGTTACTCATGAGAAGGCTTCAATATTTTGGAACTTCAATCACTTACCAGTTAAGAATAAAAATATTATATACATAAAATGTATGTTTCATTATAATAAATACTGCTTGTAATTTTGATATCTTCTAAATTTGTATGCTCCAATCTGAGTCATAGTTGATTTCTAGATTTGAAAGGCAATTGCTGACCATTTTCTCATTAGGGCCAGAACAGGATCTCCCCTCTAGACCTGCAAATAGTTCCTTTCCTCGCTGTGAATGAATTTCTCTCTGTGGCTTGACGGGTGAGGCAGCAGAAGTGAGCAAGCGATAGAGAGAAGGGGGAATAGAGAGGGAGAAGGAGCGAGAGAGAAGGGGAAAGTGGCTACAGGTGTCAAGACTCTTGAAATTGGTTACCTTCCCTCCCGGAGATGGTGTGTGCAGATGCATGTAGAGGCACAGGTTTGCCTGGACTCGTGTGTGTGTGTGTGTATGTGTGTGTGTGACTCACTAGGGGCAGCAGTGTAATGATTCGTCTTTGGCATCCCTTGAGTGAATACACACTATGACCCACCTAACCACAGGAATAACACATTAAAGGAGATATGTGAATAAGATTTGAATGGAAGATGGAGGGAGAATAGCCTTTCTGACACCACACTGTATGATACTTGAAGCGCTAGCCTTCGGGACAAAGCTAGTCCTGCAGTGACAAGTGCTTGCAGAAAGTTAAAGTGACATTTCAGATTGGTGGCTTGACGTTGAAACAAGTGCCAGGGTAAGGATGGATCAGTGCCTCCCACCAGGGCAGAAAGGAAAATAGAGAAAACGCTGGTTCCACACACTACAAAACCTCTATGTGCAAGAAGTGTAATATATCAACTGCAGCTCCTGCAGTGAGCTAATACTATTAGTGTTTTATGCGAACAGGACACACAGTTTCTGCCCAGACAGCCTGTCCAGAACAGTAAATGTCATTCATTCATTCTGTTTCTCTCCCTCAGTTGAAACGCCACTCAGGAATGAGTGAAATTCTGTCAAATTCTGTTTGACCAGCGATCCACAGTCTTGTTGCTGTTAGACAAGTGTACCACTAAATTGTGACATATGGCACATCCAAAGTTTTGTCTCAAGAATTTTATGTGGAGTAACTGGAGTAACAGGTGATTGCATTGACTAGACACTAGGGCTGAACGATTTGGGGAAAAAAATCTAATTGCGATTTTCTGCCAGATATTGCAATTACAGTTTGATTTGTTCAATTTTCACGGCCTGTCTATTAATAACTAAGTAGCCTTCTTAACCATAGTAGAAGCATAAAAATCAAGGACAACTGAACAAATAAGCAAAATCTGAACAAGTCAGCAAAATCAGGCAGGCAAAATGCTCTTATTCTGAAATGCTCCATGTGGGATGTAAAGCCTGCAGAGAGCGTAACAGAACGGGCTCCCAAAGAGCAGTTATCCGTAGTTGAAGCACACAAAATGACAAATTCACAACACGTTAACAACGTGTAGGCTAAATGTTGCGCTGCTGAAACACTTCAGTGTGAGTTGACGCTGGACAAAACCGCGGCACAGCCGCTGCCTGTATCTGTTCGGCTGGCACCATTATCCCACGTTTTCCTCTAGTTTTGTTTCTTATAAAATGTACACGCTCTGTGCCCGCAGATCTGTCACACAAGAATGACAATGGAATAACTCTGTAACTGCATGTCTGTTTAAAACAGATCAGATGCGCTGTATAATTAACCTACATTTTAATCGCCATGTTCACGGTTAGCTATTCGCGTTCTTTTAAATCGCAATTTCAATTTGATAACGATTAACATTCGGGCCTAATAGACCAATGTGATTCATCACATTATCTGAAAGCAAGGTAAAGCCAAAGCTAGACTATAACTATTCTTGATCATGTACAGTGACATTTTTTATTATTATTTATGATTAATCTATCTTCTCAAATAATCAAATACATTTACATAGGCTATAAGTCTTCAAATTGCTGTTAAATTGAATTGTTGTTAATTTTTCTATAGAAAACAAAAAAACAAATCTTTGAGCACATAAAAATTATGATAAAATTATTCATGATTCTTGGTGATGGTGATTAATCTCAACACATTTCAACACATAAGGAAAGCAGAGCAAAAAGCAGAAACAGACGTTGGGAAAGTTACTAAACTTTAAAATTAAAAAGCAAATATTTGTACAGTCAAGGCAGGCAGGAAGAGGTCCAAGCTTGAAATAACTTGTAGTTGATTTTTTGCATTTAACAGCTGTCTACTTCTGCTTACAGTCAAAAAATGTGTGCTCCTGAGTGCATGTTGTGTTGCTAAGGCAATCAAAGTCCCTCTGCTGTAAAGCAATGAACGATATAGCCCTGTTGGTCAAAATCCAAGTAAATAAATTATGTTGGTTTATCTCACTCAATCGCCCACAAAATAAGTTTGGGCCATGAGAAAAAATCTTATGTAAATCCCCCCCCCCACCCTAGAGAAAGTGTTTGAAAACCACAACAGCAAGTATTGCTTCTATTGACCCATGCAGGTCCTCTGAGTTCCTGGCCACGTGCCACGCATTACTGCTTCTCCATCACCAAACAGAGCACTGTTGGGAGGTACTTGTTGTTCACCCACCCTGGTAACCAATTAAAAAACAGCTGGAGTTTTGCAGAGCCATTGAAGATAAGGGCCATTCTCCAGGGTGCAGCATTCGCACAACTGCACCACATTATCCTCAAGGGATAATCAACAGCCAACACCAATACCATGCAAATCAGAGTGAAAGGAGTGAAAAGAGCTCTCCTCAAACTGGTTATATGCTTTCAAAGATCAAGTAGTGCTGGAACCTGACCTTTTTTGTTGTTGTGGTAGACTCTTACTAATAGACATATGCATCATATTAGCATGTAATTATAATACGGGATCCCAAAATCAAAACAATATATACACAACATTGCATTTGATTTTTGTCAAGCATATAAACAAGTGCAGTAGAGTATGACGCTGCATCCAGGGATATCTGTATCTGAACAAAGCATACTGCAACACCTCAGACTGGGGAGGTAGCAACACAAAGTGTCCTAGTGTTTGAGGACCCAACTTTAACAGTCTCACAATCCATTTTGGGCCTTGACTGATGGTTAAAGAGACCCTGCTGGACAAGCCATCAGGAAAACTATCATGCAACCGGCAGCTGGCTCAGCAGTACGCGCTGGTGATTTAATTGGAACAAACCACCATTAATGGTGATTGCATCTCTCATGGGTCCATGGTGTTTGCATTACATGTGTATTGCTCTGTGTGCACAGCCGCCTCATAGGTCTTGTAACAAGACCATACATTGAAGGAAATAGGGTAGTTGTAGTGTTTTATGCCTGCTGCTATAATGACATGCTTCAGTTAAGGCTTGTTAGGTTTAGCTCAGTTCAGGCTGTTAGGGATTGCTGATTCGGTTGGGATTCTGTTATTTAAGGAGCACAGTGTTTAGTCTGTTTATGTTTCAAGATTGTTTGATTCCTTGATTTCATTCTCATTCATAATTATTATTTTTTTTAAATGTCATCTTTCACATGGCCTTACCCACAGTGGTTTACCAATATTTTGTAAATTATGACCCTTAATTGAAGCAAACTTCAGCTTCATAAATCATATTTCCATATCTGATTGACAAGGAAAGTTTGTTTACATATTCATCAAATGACTAATCATTTTTCTTGAATGTTTGCTGGGACTTTGGATGCTAGAATGTTACAGTTCGAGTGACTATACTCTTTCCTTTGGATTTCCTTGGATTTTGGATGGAAAATGTCTGCTCAAAAGGCCAGACTATCCTGTTTCACATACAGTGCATTATCTATAGGACTTACCTGTTTCTATTCTGTTTCTCGGTGTACATAGGAAACAGGTGTATGCATTATGAAGTTGTTCAGTGGCTTTATCTCCTTTTGGATATCTTTCCCCCAGCCAGAGACAGATTGAAATCATTTCAGGTCAGGCCGCCAGGAGTTCACAACGCAGAGAGGTCCACAGCTCAGACGGAATCTCTGATCCCCGATAACATCTCTCCACTCTCTGCTCTGGCATTCCCTTCATCTTTCCCTTTTCTGTTTTCCTTCTTTTCTTCTTCTCCGCTGGCTTCACCCAAGCCTTTTAGCAGCCTAACATTTCTGATAAATAAAGAATTTCTGTGGTGCACGGGTGGTGAGGCTGCAAAGCGGTCACCACAGAGAGATGGGTTCAATCCCAGGTAGTGGGACCTTCAGCTTGGTCTTGCATTCCAGCAAACATAATTGGCAGTGTTTGCTTGTGGGACGCAAGTGAGGGATCATGTCCTTGTTGCTTGACCAGTGATTCAAGTGGTTGGTCAGGGTGGTTGCATAGAGGTGTGGGATCATGGGGTAATAGTGTCAGTTATAATTCTGAAGAGTAATTGATTTAATTAGGAAATGAGTAAAACTACTAGGTTTGTGCAAGTGCCACA